GAAAGGTAGAACTTTGCCAACACCAGAAACTCTAAAAAGAAAATGTCACATTAGGAAAATATCAAAAGGAAGCCTGCGGTTATGTTATACTTTGTACCTTAGAAAATTACAGCTTTGGTGTGTTTGGTTGCTATGCAAATAACAGGGGCTGCTTCAGGGATGAAAAGAAACACAGCTCTGGAGGGAAGATTGCCAAAAATAAAATAAATTGAACCCAACTCTGCAGCATGTTCTGGCACGTTTCCCCTCAGGGGCTTTTATAATCTGGTCTGCTGTAGTTAGATGAGCGCATGGAGAATGCTGAAGTGTCAAACAGCAGTTATCAGAGGATCACCGAAATATTTGTGATAACAGAAATGAAAGAAAAGCAGCAAAGCGGTGCAATGTGTTTGTTTTCTTTTGTAGGAATGAACACAATAAGCAAGTACATGGAAGAAATGGTACCAAACTAAAATCCTTATTTGTTTTGCACCATCCACATGGTTATGGAGGTACTTGAATATGGATGTCTACGATTTTGGTCCTGGGTCCGCCTGAAAAGAGACAGAAGTCAACATCCTCATTAAGTTAAAACACAATGAAAACCTTTAGAGCGTCCAGCGTTTCCAGATGATCAATTATTTCCCTTATTTTTAAAAGCAGTAAGGGTGGACTTTGTTTTTGTTTCCATAAACGGTGCTTGCATTTTGGCTTAGCTTTTGTTGGATGGATGATGACACAGCTGTATGTCATGCCACCGAGTTCACCCAAGGTTTCAATTTACCTCGTGAGTCATTATTTATTGTTTTGCATCCAAGGAGCCAAATTTCTTTGCATGAATTTCTACAGAAACGCTGACATTGTTTGTTTGGGAAGTCTGTTGACTCTGAGGTGAATCATAAAAATTTAAAAAGCCCCTGAATTCTCAAGACAAATGGCTTCATTGCAAAATCACAACATTTTGCCAAGTAACTTTGGTCTAGTTTCCATTGTAAATATCTAATACGGTTTAAATAAGACAAAAATAACTTAAAAGTAACTTTTCAGCCACAAATAGAAGCTTGGTTCTTTTAAAATAATTCCTTAAAATTGATCAAAAAGTACTTGCTCCACTAGCAGATTATTTAACTTGCATGTTTTAAGTGAAATGATCTGGGAGTTTAACTAGAACTTTTTCATCAATATTAAGAAATTACTGACTTAAGAGAAGCTCCCATATCTTGTTGAAAAATTACTTAGTTTTTAAAACAGTGATTTATATCACTAAACAGCACACAGGATTAGCATATAATCATATTGCTGAGTTTACTCATTTATGGATGCTCTTGTGGAACAAACAGAGGAGAAAATGTTAAAAATTACATTACTGATCATACCGTCAGTTTTATTTATTTAAAAACGATAAATGATACGGTAAATGCCCTCCCCTACATTGGTCCCTAAATTACCCAAAGTATAAAAAAATTAAAACTACTACTATAACTAATAAAAACTAAATATTTAGCTAATAAACACTAGCAAATACACTCTAAAAACTAATCAGATCTAAATTAATTTGACAAAAGGTTACAGTGAAATAAAATTAAACCATAGTGAAAAACTCAAATCTGTTATAACGCTGGTTCTCAGTTTGTTTTCTGCTTCCTAGGCTGCCACAAAGGACAAAGACTGGGCTACAAATGTTACCTAGTGTACAACAACTTAGCCGACTACGCGGGGGCATCCAGGAAGTGCCTGGAACGTGGCGGACGCTTGGCGATGCCGCGCGACCGCAAGGAGCAGGAGGCCCTGGCGGCGTACGTCAAGGCCTTCTTCAGCCCGGGTAACTGGCCCGTTTGGCTGGGCATCAACGACCTGCGCTCCGAGGGGCTGTACCTCTTCGATGACGGCACACGGGTCTCGTACTTCCAGTGGCGTAAGCACTTCCTGTCCAGTCAGCCGGACGGAGGAAAACGAGAAAACTGTGTGGCCATGTCGTCGGACGACGGGGACTGGTGGGACCACTACTGCGACCGGATCATGAACTATGTCTGCGAATTTGACGACAGGGTGGCACTTTGAAATGAACTCTTTAAAAACTGTTTGTTTTTTTCCTGATAATGCCAGTAATTCAAACCTGAATGTGTAGCTCTTTAGAAATAAAAGAGAAAACATTTTATTCATTATCACATAAATTATTTTAGCGTACAACACGGTCTAGTCCCAACGCAGAGTTCTGGAGATGTACGTTCATCTTAGGCATGAATTTTGTAGTAATTCTGGATTTATTATAATCCATTTGACTGATTTTCTTACAACAAGCATTGGGAGATTCTTAAAGCAAGAATCCGACACGTTCTTTTGGTAGACATCAGCAAGCCTCTGACATAATACTTGTTGGGTATTTAACAGCGACACAGCCAAACTGGTACAGTTCATTTCTATTAGTTGGTTTCCTGGAAGAAATCCAGTTTCTGACATGGTTGACAATTTCACATTAACCTGCTTTATCCAAGTCAAGTTAATTTGTTTAGCACATTTAATCAACAAGGTGTTTAAAGTCCTTTACACCATAAAAGCATAGTACATTACAATTTATCAAGTATCATCTACATCAAATATGTTGATCAATCAATCAAAGTTACTAGCAATCAAAGGAAACTAAACTAGGTGAGTTTTTAGCCTTGATTTAAACAAACTCTGTTTCGGCAGTTTTGTAGTTTTCTGGAAGTTTGTTCCAGGTTAGAGGAGCATAAAAACAGAATGGTGCTTCAGTAACAGATCTTTAATGATCTTTAATGTATTTTGGTGCAAAGCCATTCAGTGAACTAATGGAGGGATTCCTGCTCCAACACACTGGAACCTTAAGACTGAAACTCACTGACATGTCAGTAAGTTTTCCATTAATTATTAATCATTTGATTCTGGTGTTTTGGAGCAGAGATGCAGCTAAAAGTGCAGACCCCTGACTTACACAAAGCATCAAGCGCAACCCGAGTGAAAATTTTTTTAAGTATGTGTGAAAAGCCATGGTTGTGCAACGAAACCATCTAACTGAAATAAACTGTACAAACCAAGCAAAGAAGAGTCGACATAGTGCAGCGTATTAGAGATATTTCTCCAAATACACAAAGTGTACAATTATTTCAGCATTAAATAAGCAAGTAAGCATCTTAATACTTAATGGTATAGACTGAAATGTACTGTATGTCGATGAAGGAGTGAAACACTTTTCTCTGTGTGTTAGTGCTTTAATCATTGTTGTTCATGCAGCTGCATAAATATGACTGTAAGCCAGTTAAAACTGCTGATTACATTCAGGGAACTCTAAATATTGGATCAGGATTTCCAAACAAGGGTAAAAACTGAAAGATGGAGGAACTTTCTTGGGAATCGGCACATACCAAACCCCTTCAGGATCTCCATCAGTGTGTGCTTGGGCCTTAGGAGGAGTTAAGAAGTAGCAGAAATGTTTTTAATAAGGGCTGGTGCCGAGTCCTGCTAAACTGCTGATTAACCCACATTCTTTCGACCAGAGGAAACTAAGCTTGACTTCTGCACAGTCTGCAAATATGATTTTCTCAAAAACATGACTTATTTTGTCTGCAAAACAAGAAAGTAAAATGACAGCTTGGGTTTTTATTTTCCTTGGTACAAGCTTATAAACAATAGATTTCAGTGGAAGTATTCGTCATAAATGCCAACAGTACATTTGTTTTTGGAGATATGTTGGGTATTGGAGACATGCTGAATGAAAATGTATCTACCTAAACATTTTTGTTGTTCCTTCCATAAGAAACATAACTATTTTAATTAAGCAGTAAGTTATAGCTTTGTGATGCTTGATTATTCAACAATAAAGTCAATCACCTTTACAAACCTACTCCTAATATCTGGTGCTGTTGATATGCTTCTGAGATTAATTAATATACAATTGTTTAGGACTCAGCATACAGTTGAAAGATGTTTACATACACTTCATCTGAAGGCAAAACACCATGTAATGCACCAAAATCATTTCTATTCGCTAAATGCCAGAATAATGATATGGATTTTCTTCTTCTCCAGTTTGCATTTATCAAACTATTCTAAACTTACAATTTGAGTAAAATGTTTTCCTTCCATAAGCTCCAAGCAATAGCTTTGTGGAGTTCTGGCCTAGAGCTGGTGCCTTACAGCAAGAAGGTTCTGGGTTCGATTCCTGGCCCGGGGTCTTTCTGCATAGTTTGTATGTTCTCCCTGTCCATGGTGGGTTCTCTCCGGGCACTCCGGCTTCCTCCCACAATCCAAAAACATGACTGTCAGGTTAATTGGTCTCTCTAAATTCTCCCTAGGTGTGAGTGTGTGTGCCTGGTTGTTTGTCCTGTCTGTCTCTGCGCTTTTGCTAACTCTGAAAATGTTTAGCACACTTTGTTTCCCCTAAAAGTATTTTTCCAGATAAATTCCAAAGTACTAATTTTATTGGCTGTTTTGTAAATTGAATAAACTCAAGTTCTGGTCATCTACTTAATTTCTGAAGTATATATATGTTTATAATCATGCTCGTAATTTGAAGTGGGAGAATCAGCAGTTTAGTTTAATCTAATACAAGACTGATGTCTTGTATTAGATGTCCCCCTCCTGCGCAATCTCACTTACAGCGCAATCTCACTTACAGCACAGTCTGGACTTTCTCCCATTCACTTGGATTCCCTCTGGTAGATTTTCAATCTGGCCAATCAGCAAACAGAAAGAGAAATTGTTCACGATGATGATTTTCCTCGTTGTTCTAACATTGTAGTCTGCCTGTAGTTTTAGCAATGGGAGCGGGCATTTAGTCCGCATAAGCCATGCTTCCAAATTTTGAAGCTATAATCTTTCTTTTTATATTGCTTCTGGTGTTTTGGCTTCTTCCTTTCTGAGCGGCCTTTCAGTTCATGTTAACACTGGGTTCTCAAAGTGTTTAACTTTGGTTCCAAGGTTGATGTGAAGAACACAATGATGCTTTTCACATGGTGTATGCAAATATCTGGTTTCAACTGCATATTTTTTTGTTGAGTAACAAATAAATATGACTTTTCATTTTAAATCACAACATTGACATGACAAAAGAAGATCAGTTTCGTCTTTTCTGCACAGTTCTCCATCAGTCGCATTTCTTCGTAACGAGTGTAAGAGGAGACGTCATCGATGTGTGTCAAAGAGCCGGTCTTCTTCTGTGGTATCAATGTTTTTTTACGGCTTTTGTTCATTTTTGTCTTCATAGCTGCTGGTGTTGTCCTCAGCAGCTTGCAGGACGTCTTTCAAACTCGGTCTGTCCAGAGGGTTTTTAGACGGATGAGAGAGAAGCACCTTTCCCGTTTCGTCCAGTAAAAAATCCCCGCCCAGCTAAAAATATAAGTAAAATAAATAGTAAGGGAAGTTATGCCCCCTTTTAATACACATAATTATAGCAAGATAAGAAACTATGTAGGAAATATGCTTTTGATTCTCAGTTTCAAACATGTTTTCTGCAGCTACAAAGAGCAATATAACAGAAACTGTATGGTTTAAAATGGCATCTTTTTAAAAAAAATACTTGAATGTAAAGATGTATTTAAGCTCCTCATAAAATGTAAACAATGTTTAAATGAAATGAGAGATAATAGGAACATTTTATTTCTTGATGAAAGTGCTGTGTGAATGCTGTTAGTTAGAGGCTATTGCTGAAACTTGAAGTTAACTTAATGGATTAAAAGTATATTTAAAGCTAATTAACGAAAAACAGAAACGTGAGAGGAAGTAGTGGACAAACTAAAAGCCTGGAAGCTTAAAAACAAGAATAAAAGTGAGATAGATTCATAAACAAATTTAAAACAAAAAACAGGAGAAGCAAAATTTAATTTTAGAAATCAAAGAGTTGATTCCCTGATTGACAAAGTTGGATTACACAAGAGTGGATTTAGTGGAAATAATTATTTTTTCCACATTCCCAGGAAACCAAGATGTTGGAACTTTGAATTTGGAAGTTGAATAAGCCGTCTCAGGATCCAATTGGCCTGCTTCACATATAAAATGCAGTTAAAACTGTTGCTATAAACTATTAGTTACCACATTGATAGTTTCGATCTCGTTAAAGCAGCAGCGGCACAAATAGAGCTCAGTATATTATTACCAACTTGTTCACTGGGAAAAAATACACTGTGTTCCCCTTGTGTTACCAATAGCTGGCAATACAACAGAAAAGCAAATTGCCACTGGTTTCTTGGAGTTACAACTGGAGCGTGCTTCAGCTTGGGTGTGACATAAATCCCACAACCAATTGAAAGGAAAATCGAACACAGCACAAATTTAAAAAAAACTTTATTGCTGTAAAATCACAGCACAACCCAAGTGATTTTCCAACATTGCTACGTCCAAGAGGACTGAAAGCTGCAAGCCAGTGGAGGTAGAGCACGAAGTCAGGCATTTTTTAGAAAAGAAAGAGTTTAGTTAAAAAGCTAGAGTAGGTGAATTTACTCACAATGGTAATTTAAAGAAGATCTACTATGCAAAATTCATGTTTTGCACTATTCTATAATTCCATTTGGGTCTCAACTGCTTCTAAAAACAGCCCAAGCACTAAAAGAACACCCAGATCTTAGTAAGTTCATGTTTTTTTTGGTGTTTCCATAACCTCACAATAATTAAAAAGAAAGTATGTTTTCCAGGCACATAGTGTCATTTAATCAAGTGATTATGTCCCCTTCAGTTGTTATAAAAATGCAATATATAACTTAAAAGAATTTTGACTTTCTTTCTCCTGCCCTTTCTGAAACTCCACATTCAGGAAATCATCACATCTCTCCTCTATTATCCCTTTAACAACGGAGCTCAGCAGATGCACAGTCCCACCAGGTGTTTGCTAATTGTGACTAGCTAGCCTGAAGGAGTCGAGTGGAGAACCACAGGGGGAGGAGCTCTGTGAGGCAGAAGTTTGGAGGCTTGGAAACTGCAGCTCTGAGGAGGAGTTATGTCTCGATGTTATGTCAGCCGTACAAAACATCAAAATGTTTTGTACGGCTGGATGGTTGCCATGGAGATTAAAGGATTTCTCAAACATGCATGAAAGAATCAAGGCAACTCTTTCAGTATGTTTTTGATGAGGGAATAACATAATAACATGAGGTAAAGCTAAAAAAGAAACAATGTGCTATAACCTAGTAACTCCAGCCAAGTCAAACCCCGTTACCTAGCAACCCAAACGGAGTTCCAGCACATTTGGTCAGATAATTTTACAACTGCAAACTGGCTACTGGATAAGACAAGCATTTTGTTGTTGACTTATCATCCAGAAGCCACCTGCTACATTTTTGCATAATAGCTCACTGTTAAAGATTTCATCAATAGAGACCCATTGTAAAATGGAAAGTACCGATAGAAAAAGATGGTAGTTTGTTGGAAATTTGAGTCGATTAGTTCTGTTAATTGCTAAAAGCTTGGTGGTGTTTCTAGCTGGAAGCAGTTGCTGTTCATAAAGCATTTTCATAGAATACCAGGGATTAATCCAGTCACTTTTGTGGAACAAAATTTTTCAGAAAAAAAAAATATTTAAAAATATTTAACCAAAAACCCATGTCCTACATGAGCACCATAAAATGATGCTTTGTACCTGATAAATGTCTTCTAGCAGGCGATGTGGGAAATCAGGGAAGTCTCTGTCTGCAGCGCTGAACTCCGACAACTGCATCAGGCAGCCGAACTTCAACACCTTGGAGAAGGAGGAGCCAAGCCCAAAACTCCTGTAAACCTGGACCAGGAAGGGTTTATGAAGTCAGCATGACCGTTTCCATGGCAACTGGTGGCTGAAAGGTCTGCACACTTGGCTCATTGAGCTTTAATGACGCCATTATACAGCTGCTAAAACCTTTAGTCAACTCCCAAACCGACTGTTTTCCTGAATCAAAGCCATTTCTATATTAGATGACAAACTTTTCAGTTAATTTATCACTTTAGATTGTTTTAACTCCTGTTACTTTCACAGTTAAGTGCTTTAGTTTAATGCTGACCTTTCTTTGTGAATCCAACATCATTTCGAAGGTACATCCTGTCTGTTCCAGCCACAGCTGAGCGCCCTCCACACTGCCGAAGGAAACCACCATGACCTGCACTGACTGGGCCTCCAGGAGGGTCTGCAGAGCAAAACTAAATCATAAAACTGCTTCACAATTCTCTTTTGATTCACTTGGAGATGTTCTTTCAGCTTTTTTCAAATTTTGGGGGATTTTGGGAAAGGTGAAGGTGAACTGACCTGATTGGCCTCCAGCTCGGCCACATGGTCCCGACACGGCACCCATCCAAAGTTTCCAATGAGAACCAGCAGCAGCTTCTGACCCAAGAACTGACCCAGAGTCACACTCCTTTTAAAGAAAATAACCAAAACCATGACTTTATACACTGAGGTAAACCAGTGGGAGTGACTAGGAATGACTAATGAATAAAAACTTGCTCTTTTGATCGTGCATCAGTGAATACAAAGTCAGGACTTAAGCTGTCTGCTGGATTTGCTCCTGATAGCTGCTCATCAGTCATCTGCAAATCTTTGTCCACGCTCTGCAGGAAGGAGTCCCACTCATTCTGCAAAATTAACCAAAAACGTAAAAAGTTAAGTAAATTATGCTTGTTTTGTTTCAATTGGGCTGTCATATTTGTGCAAAAAGATGCCAAGTACCACAATGTATATGTTGCTTGAAGAGAAAACAGGAAAACAGAAATGTAAAAGCAAAAAATGTCAAATCTAGAAGCAAGACAAACTGAATAGAAAAAAAAAAGTTGTAAAATATGCAGACCTCCAGTTTCAGAAGCTCTTCTACTTGCTCTCTGACTGCTGGATGGCTGGGAAAAAATAATTATTTAAAGTTGTGTTTAAATTTTCATGTCAAAATATCAATTCTAAAACTAAATTGACCATATTCATGTTATTTTTGAAAGTATGAACAGATAAATATGATTCATTGTAGGATTTTTGAACACTTTAGTCACATTTTGTCAGACTTACTAGTATAATTTCTGCCAAACAGCCTCTGCTTCACCTTTTGTCTTCACTCCAATTCTGCTCAAAAACAGACTTTCTTCAAAATCCTGTTCAAATATGCAAAAACACTTTGAGATGCATAAAAAACTTAATGATATGTATTTTTTATTTACCTTCTGTAGAAATTTTCCCCGGCTGTGATCAAACCAAATAAAGTAGTGATCTTATGAGGAACAAAAGTCTGCAGAGATGCTGAAGAAATAGAAAAACAACGACGCTTTGTTAAGGTCAGGTGGATTTGTGCAATGCCTTTATGTTAGAAATAGGCATGACGGGGATTAGATTAGACAAGCCAGTCCGGTATTTTAATCCAAGGATTTGATGTCAGCTGCATTGCTCAAGATTTACGTCAGAAAATAAAGTTAAAATATCCATATTTATTAATTATAAAAGTCAGTTTACACTAACTTTGTTAAAATAGTAAAATATACATATAAATTAATATAATTTAAGCGGTATTACGTTAAATTAAATAAAATTAAAATAAATGCGACATAATTAGTGCTAATTAGTTATTTACACGACGTTATAGCATTGAATATAAACCTATTTTTAATGTTTTTCTTACCTGCTGCTTCCTGCTGGGCATTCTGGAGTAATATTTGACCCAAACTGACCAACAGACTCAGGGCACCGGTTAAAGTCTCCTCTGAAACAGACACATCCTGCGCCATGGCCACAGCAACTCAGACTGACCGCCGGTGCTCTGACGTCACTGGCACTTAACGGTCAGTTGCGTGCGCAATTAGGGATCACGTGACAGGAAAATCTGGAACTTTCGGTAGTTAGCAAAGTAGCAAAGACATTGATATATATTACCAAAATACCACTAATGTCTATTGATGGGTTAAAAGTTGGTTTGCTAGCAGCATATAAACGCTAATTTATTAACCTATTAAACCGTAACAAGATTTAATTGTTAATGCTTATCTGTCAAAACAGTGGCGATCCAAGACTTTGTGGGCCCTGGGCAAAATTTGATTCGTGGCACCGACACCGTTAGCCAAACTTGAAACTTATCTTTCTTAATTTTGCTAGGCTGCAGTGAAACAGACTGGTGACCTGTCCAGGGTGTACGCTGCCTCTCGCCCGAAAGGTCTCGCTGGAGATGGGCACCAGCACCCCTTCAGACCTCACTAGGGACAAGGGTGTAAGAAAATGGATTGATGGATGGAATTTTGCTAGATCTTCTAACTCCATAGGTTAGAAGATATAACTTATGTCTGAAGTCAAGTATTAAAAAATACTAATAATCTAGTCTAAGTGGGTGCGATTTTTCAGTCCATTTTCCAGCCGTGTGACAATGTTTTGCAATCGGGCTCGGTTGCTCCTCTCAAAGGTATTGCAGTAGTTGCACAAATGCGTGCAAAACTTTGCCAATATTCCGCAAATGTCGAAAAAACTAACTTAGCAATTGCTGTTTTCATCAAATAAGAAATTAAAATCTTGGATGAATACGTTTGCTGATGCTATAAGTCGTTAAAAAACATGCCATACCATGATTCTCCAACGACTTCCTGTTTGTCTTCCTGGGTTGAAACATTGTCAACAATTATTTGTTGATCATGATGCAAAAAGTGCTTACATTGTAATTTTGAGAAATAAAAGTTCGAACATGGCCAAAAAAGAGCCCACCTCATCCTAGCACCAAACATTTTATAATTTATTTTAAATTGCAGTGTTTGTATAGAATTTTTTTTTCCAAAACATCAAATTGCCTAACCCACATTTACCTGAAACTCTCACTCAAGGCATTCACTGGAATGCTACTCAAGAAAGTATATAAATAATCTAGTTTACTGTACTTATGTAAGATATATTGCTATAATAATGAAATGTTGGTTGCTTGTTGTAGACATGTAGAAATTAGAATATTGCAATTCATGAACTTTAGATGTTTCCCCATAATAAAATATGTTTGATTTTTACAGATTTGCAATTCAATTTTCATGACTACAAAAACAAAAATAATCAGAGACTAGTGAAATTCCAGCCCAGTTTTATTGACTGTTTAACATTCATTCAATAAGAAAAACTCATCCCTTCAAGTTTTAGGAAGTAATATTGAAAGATTTTCTCCCCTCTAACTCTAAAGCCCACAGAAGCAGTTAATTACTAGATGTCCAGGAAAAAGGAGATGATTACTATCAGAAAGCACAAACAGAAAATTAGAGGGAAAAAATAAGTTTCTGACTGTGTGTAATGCATCAAATAAATTAATAAGATCTTTTAAACAAAGCAGGTTGATGATGTTAGTACTGCAGGAGCATATTGACTTTCAGTTTTCACAAACTTATTTAAGGCCTCAATAATCACAGGAGTTTCACAGAACGGCTTCCTTGTGCTTTAAGTCGGGTAACAGTGGCGTACACAACATTACGGCTTCAGACTTGCTTTTCTATGGTTAAGAAGACAGTCCAAAACGTCTAATTTTGGAGAGAATTAAGTCAGATTTCTGCTTTCTTTATTTCCTTCAAACCATCTCAATCTGTTCCTCAAATATTCAAAATTAAAATCTGATCAAGATTCTCAGGGATCATAAAACAAGTCTTTTCTAAACCTAAAAATTAAGAATTGGGAAGTTACTGTAAAGGAAAATACAAATTTAGCCTGCTGCCATAGTTAGATTAGAAGTTAAAGATCAAGCAGTCAGAGATGTTAGAGGACATAAACTTTAAAATAAATACCAAATTTAAATGGAAAAGTATGGAAATGTTTACCTGTCAGAGCTTGGAAATAATTCAGGAGCAGCATCTCGTTAAAACAAGAAACGTTCTCGTGTTTACAAGTTTTACGTCACATTATGAGAAACTCCAGTTAAAACAAGAAACTAATGTCAACAAATTTAGCATCTTGTTACGTCTTGTTGAAACGTCCAATTTCAATAAGAAATACTTGGTTTTCACGAGTTTTGCATCTCCTTATGAGAAACTTAAAACAAAAAACTCGTTATGTTAAACTTCTCATTTCAACGAGAAATTAATTTTTATCTCGTTATACTGAGAAAACGCTATGAAGAAAAACACGTTAAAAAAAGATATTCATTTTAATTAATTTTGCTTATCATTAAAACGATACTTTCTTGATATGAGATATGAAACTTCATGTTTTAATCAGAAAGTAATTTTTAAGAGTTTTGCATCTCATTATACTGAGAAACGAAAAACTTAAGTCAAGAAACTCTTTTTAACGAGTTTTGCATCTTTTTAAAACAATAAATTTTGTTCTAAGGAGAAACTTTCAAGTTATGAGCTATGAAACTTATAGAAAAAAACAAATTTCTTGGAATTTTTCAACTTGTTATAACAAGAAACATTCTCATTTTAACAAGTTTTGCATCTGTTATAACAAGAAACCCTGATTATAACAAAATGCAACTAAACAGCTTCTGGAGACAAATTATAAAAGTACTCTGAATGCAGATTAATCCATCTATTATTTTGTATAAAATGATCAGAATAAGAATACTGTTCTGATTAAATAACAGATTATTTTTAGCAAAAAATACACATTGTATTAAATTATCTAAACATATATATTAGCCATCAGAAGCAGATTTAAGATTACAAATACATTTTTATCTAGTCCTCCAACATCTCCGAGTGATGCATGAAAACAGAAGAAATTTTTAAAAAGTGATTGTAAGTGTGAAAAAAATAAAAAATAAAAAGACTGCTTCAAGTATCCCAAGGAAAATTCAGTATCCCTGAAAGTTGTTCCAAATGGTTTTAATCCTCCGAACTCTTCTCTGCAGATCGGCTTGATTGATTGTGTCCACAAGGAAGATTTTAAAGTGCCAATTACAGTCTGTTTTTTTAGATGCTGACCTAAACCTAAAATATTTCTAGCACCCTATTTTACAGTTGAGGCATTTTAAAATGAGGTTAAGTTCAGAGGATTCCCCATGCGGATGGGTTTTGTGCTTTGGGTGCTTCAGGCCAACGAAGCAGAGGAAGAGCAAAGGCAGACACAATCGCTTCTACATCCCAAACAAAACCACAAAAACATCATCTTACCAAATACTTTGTGTTCTAGTTTCGAGTTCAAATATCTTAACACACCTGAAATAAGACAAAACTAACTCATAAGTAGGAGCTTGTTTTAAGTCAATAATTCATTAATATTGATGACAAAGTTCTAGTTTCACTGGCAGATTATTTCACTTAAAACAAGACATTTTCCCATGTTAAAAGTGAAATGGTCTGCCAGTGAAACTAGAACTCGGTTGCTAGGCGACGGGCTGGGCTTGGCTGGCGTTGCTAGGCAACGGCGCCAGTGTAACTAGAACTTACCCATCAATATTAAGGAATTATTTAATTAAAAAAGCTCCTATATCTTGCTGAACAGATACTTGTTAGTTTTCTTTTGTTTATTTCAGGTGAACTAAGATGGTTTCGCTACAAATTAGACCAAAAATGCTTGACAAAATGTTGTACTTTTGCAGTAAAAACTGAAAGATCTGTTTAAAGCTTGATATTGAGGTAAAAACGAATAAAACTAACTGGCAGCAGTGTTTATTTAATAAACTATAAGATTCATCCAGAGCAGCACTTTAACTATCAACTTGTTCATTCTTTGTGTTCATTATCAAGTAGCAGCTAATTTGTTTTACAATGACCGTCGCTCGTTTTAAAGCACTTCATAAGTCAATTTATAATAAATATGAAGCTAAGAGTGATTGTAAAGGAATACTTATGATGGTAAGACTGGGAATATTCCAAAAATGAGAGGTTCACTTTTTGGTATGAATTTAGAATATTTTTGGATCTTTTCAGTCCCGTTTTGTTTGGGATGTAGAAGTTTGTCCCTTTACTGTTATTGTGCAGAAGCTCCATTGTTAAGACTTTATTTGACAGATTTCTCTGAGCGCTGGAAGATGTTTTAAGACTTCTTTGGACAATGTGAAGACGAGTCTGTGTTGAGGACCTCGATCATCGTTCTGATGGACGGGAAGGTCTCTGCTACAGACGGAAGACTTCGGTACCAACTGGGTAAACTGGGAACAGGAAGAGTTAGAGTCACACTGGACTTTGAGAAAAACAAACGAAAGCAATCGTTTTCTAATCGTACCTTTTTAGATTCATCCAGCTCTTTGCTGTTTTACTGAAATTTTCTGGACTTGGCGCCGTCATGGCTTCAAAGTCTACCAACTGAATCAAATAAAGGCAGAAAAAAAGAATAAATTAAGGATCAATTTCTAAAGATTGAACAAAAAAAAATCTATCCATCTCTCTGCATTTAAGATTGACTGTGGCTACTATCGATTGTAGCAACCTGCGATGTAGGGAGTTGGCTGGGTGGACAAACTCCAACCTAAGATCAGAAGGCTGTTAACAATCAGTAGCAAACTGCTGGTGGATGTTTAGTGTGCTACGGAGCAGAACGCTGACGTTATTGTTTCTCCCTACAATTGATAGTAGCCACACAGGCACACCCGTTAAAAGGAAACAAACGCACCCAGTACAATACTTTCATTCTATTGACTGAGAGGTTGCCAGGCGACTGTGCCAAAAGGCATTTCCAAACGCGAGCAGAGAGTCCGAACAGAGACTAGGTGTGAGAGCGAGGAGAAGTTTTGAGTACAAGCATTACAAGTTTTGAGAAGAGAGACATGAAGTCCTGCTTTCAAAATAAAAATGTGTGCTTTTGGATTATGGCAGAAAAATTCCCCCATACTTTTCTAACAAATGATGCATATCAATGGGAATGATCATTTGTTTCTGTTTTTTCTTTTTGTCCGTTTGAAATAAATCAATAAATAATTAAATATTTTGTGTGTAAATGTCTGGTTTTATTTATTTGCTGTGATGTTTACCTTTCCCTTTGGGATTCTACCGATGACCTCTTTCCCACTGGCCATCAGTGCCCCCATCACCACCGAATACGCCACCACACTGAAGACAAAGACATCAGCCAACAACTGATACAACGTTTTGCTTTTCAACAAAAGCAGATTTTAACGTATTTGACTGAAACGCACCTGGATCCTCTGGACAGAGGCATGAGGTTGCAGAAGTAATAAATCAGAGAGAGGATCAGGTTGCATACTGCATCTGCGTCCTGAAAAAAAAAACAGGAAGAAGAGTGATGCTTTCTGCAACCGTCCAGATTAAGGACATGTTTGTTAAACATCCACATGTCAGAAAACATTTTTACTTTCTCCTGCTGTCTGTAAAATTGTCTGCGTATTTGTTTTGCTTTTAGAGAAAAGCGTTTGGTGGTAAATCTCACCCCCAGTTCGGTGGACAGCATCAGCGCCTTCCCTTTGACTGTAAGGTCTTTGTAGATGTTCTCGATCTCTGACTGGTACTGCTGCGTCCGCTCCTCTGTCGTCTGGGTTTCTACAGAGAACAACATGTTCCCCACCCTAACAGAACGAAAGGAAAAGCAACATAGGTCAACAGGCAACTTCAAATTCATACAAACATCACTTAATACTTTTATGGTCTTATATTTCCAGAGTTTCTGGAGATTCTGGGTTTAGTTTTTAGGTTTGAATAGTTTGAACTAAGAACTTAAGGCAGATATTTCTATAATGGCCGGGATTTAAATATGGAGGCTGGAAAAAACAAAAAAACAATGAATAAGTGAGTATGGATGGCTGAATGGATAATTAGGTCAGCTTATTACTGTCCTGCACCAATCAGGATCAAATAATTTTTCATAATCTTAATTTTTCTGCTCAGGCAGGATGAAAACTGTCTAAATAATAAACATAAACCACTGCAACAAACCTAAAGAAAATAAGTCGACATGGAACAAAATTATTTTTATTTCTGTAGCTTAAAACCACAGAAAAACATTTATTTTGTGCTCTTGGACTTATATAGTTCAGCTGAATGTACAATATTAACTTCAGTTATTACAGGCTGCAGTTTGTGGGAAGCAGTGACACCTAGTGGTTAAACCTGCAACAGATTTCATGTTTCCCAATTTTAGTGCAAATGTTGGGTTTGTTTATTCTGCTGTAAAGAAATTAAGCAAATATAAAATCTCACTGGACAGAAAAATGTGTTTTAAGGCCTTGCGACCGTCCGGCTCCGTCAGGGGTTACCTGTCTCCGGTGATGGTGATGGTGAAGCCGTCATACTCCTTCCCAGGATCCTTCACACTCGGCACCTTGGAGTTCACAGTGAATCCATCTCTGGTTTTACTGTTAAACTGCTTCAGGAAATAAACACACAAACAACAATCCTGGAATTTCACTGCTTAAACAGTCAAGTAACAAAGTAACAATTTTTTGATAAGCAGCCATTTTCTTAAAAATATTAAGAGCTGTTTATTTTAACATTTTGTGTCAGCTGTATTAAATACTGACTGACTAAAAACTTGTAGTTCTCATACTTTCAAACCTATTATAAAATATAACGAAACAATAACGAAAAATATGTTAAACGCTTAATTTCCAATAAACAAAA